CCAGAGAGGCCAGCAGATTGTATAATGGTTACGTCACTGGGCTTCCACATGACTGACCACAGTTCTAGTCCTGAACTCAGCAGCTTTAAACTCACACCAGGTGCATGTGCATGCGTGCCCAAAATCCCAAGTGGAGGATGGAGGAAAAGGGATTATGGCGTGGCCATCCTCCCTGGGGGATGATTTCTCACTTTCTGTCTCTTTGGCGAGCACATGCACCCTATAGCAAAAATCTCTCTTAAAAAAGGAAAGACCACCTATGTTATAGAAAGTGGAGATATGGCAACAGGAAAGATCAAATCAGCAGGTTTATTAGAAGGATGCACAAAAGTGTCTACCATGACTATTTTTGTAATCTGGTCAGTTAAAAAACAGTGAGTACTTTCATACTGAAAAACAAAACAAAAGTCACAATCATCATTACATTTTTAGATGGTAGAATTTGGGGGATTTTTTTTTAACTTTAATTTTTTGCACTGTTTGAATTCTTAGAATATATATAATTTTTACAAAGTAATCCTTTTCTTTTAAAAAGGAAAGCATATTTACCAAGATATTAGCAGTGGTTGATTCTAAGGGCAGGAATACGGGTGACAGTTATTTTCTTCTATTTATCCAATTTCCTTATTTTTCCAAAAATTAAAAAAGATAAATTTCAAAAATATATTTACAGGCTGGCTCTGTGGCACAGCAGTAATGCACTGGTCAAGAGAAAACAGATCTGGGGCCCAGAAGGTAGCATGATGATAAGTGCTGGACTCCCACATGGCCATCTGTGGTTCGAGTCCCAGACCTGGTGGCTTGCTTTGTCACTTTCCCTTTCCCTCCCTCTGTGTCTCTCTCTAGTCAATTTAAAAAATAATAACAGAAAAATTAAATTAAATAAATAAAGGGGAAAAAAGAGAGAGAAGCCAGATCCCATATGACAACCACAGATCAAATTCCCAGCCCAGTCAACCTGAAACACACCAAGTATTCACATGAGTGCCCAAAACCTGGAGGCAGGAGATCATGGAGTGACCAGACCCTGGGAAGGGTGCCCCTCTCTCTCTGTCTCTCTCAAATGTACATGCGAACTCTGTGGTGAATAAAGAAAACAAATTTTAAATGTATAACTATATGACATTCATACCCTCTCTCTAATTAGTATATTTATCAAAAAGGTGATGGATATGCATTGTACAGAATTTAAAAGGGCATCTGTTCAAAACTAAATGTCCCTCCTACCTCTACCTTTGACAGTTTCCTCTCTAGAGGCATCGCTGTTACTAGTTTCTTGGGAAACTTCTGGAGATAGACTTTTCATAGGTAAGCATAGAGGAGTATTTTTTTAAGAATTTTTTATTTATAATAATTATTATTTTTAAAAATTTTGCTATAGGATACATGTGCTTACCAGAAAGAGAGAGCAGGAAAGTGAGAAAGCCACCAGTTCTGAGATTCGAACCCTGGTCAGCCATGTGGGACCAACACCGTAACCCCCACACCACCTGCTGGTCTGGAGTTTTGTTTTTGTTTTTTTTTTCCCCATATACAAATGAAAACATGCCATATTATTTTATTTCTTAGTTTTCTCCTTTAAGTTTTTTTTTTTTTTTTTTCCAGGAGTCTATGGGGGACTCTTGGAATGTGTCCAAGTGACTTGGGACTTAAACCACAGTTGACTACATGGGAGTCCAGCCATGTAACCATTACGCTATCTGCTGGTCCCACCACATCTTTTTTTATAGAATTTTTTCTCTTTTCTATTTTAGAAATATTTATTTAATTCTATACATCATTACGATTTATTTTTAATGTACTATAGGCACGCACACCCACCAGAGAGAGAGAGAGAGAAAGAGAAAGAAAGCCACCATGTCTAGGACCTGAACCATGTGAGAGTCCAGCACCCCAACCACTATGCCACTCGCTGGTCCCTATAGCACATTTTATATATTCCCTTGTCTGTCCATGAACATTTAGACTGTTTCCACCTTTTGGCTCTTGTGAACAATACTGCTATAAACATGGATGTACACATACCTGTTCAAGTGTCTGCTTTCATTTCTCTTGGGTTTATACATGGAGTGGAGTTGCAGGTATTTATGTGTTTACATTTCTGAGGAAGAACCATATTGTTTCCATTGCAGTTGGATCATTTTATATTTCCACCAGCAATGCATGAGGGTTCAAATTTCTCCACATCACCAATATTATTTTTCCATTTATTATGTTTTTTAATTTGCCTGCGGGTGGGTACACTCACCATAGAGACAGAGAAAGAAAGAAAATGCAAACTCCCCATGGGGAATGGTCACTCCATAATTCTTTCTCCTCCATTTCTCCCTCCTTTTGGAATTTTGGGCATGCATGCACGTGCTCCCAGTGTGTTTTCTCCTCTTAATCATTAACAAGACTTCATGGAAATTGTTCCTTCTTTACTCATTTACAGCAGTAATGGCTGCATCCTACAAATGACTTCATTATAGAGATGGCCAGTGCTTTATTTGTCCATCCTCTGCTAATGAATATTGAGGTTGCTTTCATTCTTTTGCTGTGACAAACTGGACTTTAATGAATATCTTTACACTTAAAGCACTTCATGGGGCCAGCAGATGGCGTAGCAATTACATTGCTAGACTCCCATATGGCTGACCACTTCACATCCCTGACCCGGTGGCTTGAAAATCACACCAGATGCATGTGTGTGCTCAAGATCCTGAGAGGAGGATGAAGGAGAAGAGATTGTGGTGTGACCAACTCTCCCAGGGGGTGATTTCTTACTTTCCCTCTCACTGTCTCTGTCTGTCTCTCTCTCTGGCGAGCTCATGTGCGCCTTTTTAAGCAGTACTTCACACATGAGAGCAGATCTATAGGATAATATGCCTATAGGTGAGATGGCTATTGCAAAGGGCATACACATGAATAATTTTGATGGATCTTGCCAAACTGTCCTCCCTAAATGTTAAGATAGTGTGTCAAAAAGTTATCTCTCTCTGTCCCTGCCAGCGCATTAAGTTACTAACCTTTTTGATTTTTCTAATGTGATAATCAGTTAAAAGCGCTCTGTTGGAGGCCAGTAGGTGGTGTGGTGGTGAATGTACTGAATTCCCATATGGCAGACCACAGTTCAAGTCCTGGACCTGGCGGCTTGAAAATCATACTGGACCCATGTGCATGCATGCCCAAAGTCCCAAGAAGAGAATGAAGGAGAAGGGATTGCAACATGGCCATTCACCCTATGGGAGTGATTGCTCATTTTCTTTTACTCTGTCTTTCTCTGAACCCCTCAGGCAAGCACACATACCCTCTGGCAAAAATATATATATAAATAAAATAAAAGTGCTCTGTCACATTAATCTTCATTATTATTTACCATTCTAGAAACTATGTTTAATATATTCTTTTTGATGGTTCTTGCCCTGCAGAATTTTGTTATTTTTATGTGGTCAGGTTTATCAATTTTCTTTATGATTTCTGAGTTTCATATCATTTTTTAAAAGAATTATTTATTTTATTTGTTTTTATTATTTTAATTTGACCAGAGAGAAACAGAGAGTGTGAAAGCAAGCTGCCAGGTCCGATGCTCGAACCATGGTTGACCATGTGGGAGTCCAGCACCTCAACTACCATGCCACCTGCTGCCCCCATATCATTTTTGAAGGGATTTCTCACTTCAGAATTTATTTTAATCTTCCAAGGTTTCTTCTAGTACTTTTATGGTTTCTTTTTTGCACTTAGATCTTTGCTTCATGCAGAAGTTATTTTGGTATAAAGTGTGATACAAGAATCTCTTTTATTTTTTCCTCAATGGCTACTGCATTATACCAACACTGTTTATTAACTAATCCATCATTTGCAGTGATTCAGAGGGCCATCCTTATCATATACTACCTATCTTCATTTGGAGATCTTAAAAAATTTCACGAGTATTAACTATAAATAATCATGAGCTCGAACTTAGGAATCTTGCAGAATATTATTTACAGTACTTTTTTTTTTTGAGAGGTTTTCGCTATAGGGCGCGTGCACTCGCCAGACAGACAGAGAGAGACGTAGAGACAGAAAGCGAGAAATCACCCCCCAGGGGGGATGGTCACGCCGCAATCCCTTCTCCTCCATTCTCCTCTCGGGATCTTGGGCACACACGCACACGCGCCCGGCGTGAGTTTTAAGCCACCGGGTCCGGGATGCGAACCGCGGTCGACTACGTGGGAGTCCAGCGACATAGCCATTACGCTAACTGCTGGTTCCCTGCAGTACTTTTTTCAAATAGGAACAGAGAATTATATGGTACTGAGGAAGAAGGACAATGATCATATGCTCCTAGTAGCCCCCAGTTTGTGAGGCAGCCAGCCAAGCACAGGAACGGACATGGTTAGCAGCACGAAGCACCGGACCTCTAGCTGTATTCCAGCGTGTTTCATACTCCTCCAAAATAAAAGGAGCAGCCCCAGAGTAGAGCCAGTGGCTTTCTTTGCCTGGGGAATAATCTTGGGGAATAATCTGCATCTTAGAATGAGGTTTCCCTCTGCTGCATAAAAATAATTGCCAGTGTAGGTGGGCTTTCAATTACTAAGACTTTTTTAAAAAATATTTCTCCTGGGACCAGCAGGTGGCATGGTGGTTAAGGCACTGGACACTCCCACATGGCTGACCAGGGTTCAAGTCCTGAATCTGATGGCTTGCTTTCTCACTTCCTCTCTCTCTCACTCTCACCCTCTGTCTCTCTCTGGTCAAGTTAAAAAACAAATGAATGAATAAATAAAATAAAATAAATAATTATTTTTTAAAAAAAATTTCTCCTTGGGCTAGCAGGTGGCATGGCGGTTAGGGTGGCTGGACTCCCACGTGGCTGACCATAGTTTGAGTCCCGGACTAGGAGCTTGCTTTTTCTTTTTTTTTCTCTCTCCGTCGCCCTATGGTCAACTAAAAAAAAAAAAAAAAAAAGGATAAAATAATGACAATTAATAAAATTAAATTAAATAATTATTTTAAAAAATATTTCTCCTCTCCAGATACACCCCCCTTGATTATGCTTTGCTTGGTGAGCGCCACGAAGTGATCCAGTTCATGTTGGAGCACGGTGCCCTGTCCATCGCAGCCATCCAAGACATTGCTGCCTTCAAAATCCAGGCTGTCTACAAAGGGTACAAAGTCAGGAAAGCTTTCCGAGACCGGAAAAATCTCCTCATGAAGCATGAACAGTTAAGAAAAGATGCTGCTGCCAAGTAAGTTTGAGCTATGGAGACTAAGCTGTGCAGATTCTCACAACTCAGAATTCAGGGAAAGGGGGCAAGAGTGGTGGGGATAGCCAGGAGAAGGAATCAGGAGAGAATCCTTATCACTTTTTATCCCTAAACCTGTGTCACCTTCCCCTTTCTGCTCCTCAATCTGTCTTCAGAGGACTGAGGCTGCAGGGAGGGCTGAAGGCCTGACCTCGACTTAGCTGCCATTGCTCTAGATTAGTCCCTGATGGTCCAGCCCCGGCACAAACCACTGCCACCCTTACCCATGGCAAGGAGTCAGGGTGGGATTGCCACCTAGGATAAGCAAAAAGAGATAACTAGTATTCTTACCTTTCCTTTCTTTCCAAAAGAAACCGAAGCCGATATCTAGCCTACTCTGCCTAGACTAATCTTGCTCCACTTTTTATTTAATTATAGCAATCAACTTGCAGGGGCTGGCAGGCAGCATGATGGTTAAGGTGCTGGACTCCCACATGGCTGACCATGGTTCAAGTCCCAGACTTCATGGCTTACTTTCTCATTTTTCCCTCTCTGTCTCTCTGGTCAAATGAATAATAATAATAATAATAATAATAATAATAAATAAAATTAAATAAATAATTGGTTTTTTTTTTAGAAAGCCGCCAACTTATATAAATAACATGCTTTGTCTTACCCATTCCTTAACAAATCTATACTAAGTAAGATAATTTATTTGAGAAATATTGATTGGATACTTACTATACATACAAAACTTTTGGAGAGAGCCTAGAGAAAGAAAAATCGTGACTAAAAGCAGAGTCCCTGTTTCAAGGACTTCACATGGTGGGGCGGGCAATGTTTCAAATAGCTATTTTTCCCTATATTATACATTGTAATTATTTCACATAAACGATTGATTTCAGAATGTGCTTTCATTTGTCTGTTCTTTGATGCACTTGTTGAGTAGAAGTTTTCTAAATGTGAGCAGTATATTGTATTAGCAAATACAGATACCAAAACCTCTGATGAAAAAGCTGTAGGTGACAAGCAGATTCCCAAAAGACAGCTCCCGGCTATATTTTGAATGTTTCTAAATCTCCATTCCTTCCAACTCTTGACTCCTTCCCTTTCTTGCCCTCTAGGGGGAAGCATAAGTGTAATAAATAATCATTAAAAAACAATACCTAAGTAACCATTAAAAATAATAATAAGGCAAGATAAATTATTTTACTGAAAAATAATTACTTGTATGTGCTGCAGTGCTAACTATAATGCCTGCCTTTGGCAGATAAGACTGAAGAAACATCATTTTCTGTGACTCAGAAGCTGCTGAAGTGGATGGCAGCCTAGAGAATGTTATCTTGCACTCTTCTCTTAGGCTCTCTTCTCTTCACTTTGACAAAGAATCCAGTGTTACCCTAAGCCTCTACACACCTCTTTGGCCAGAGTTCTTATCAAAGTTCTCTGCAATAGGGGCCACCAGGTGGTGTGGTGGTTAAAGAATTAGATTCCTAAATGACTCACCGTGGTTCAGGTCTCAGACCTGGAGGCTTGCTTTCTCACTCTCTCTCTCTGTCTCTCTCTGATCAAGTTGAAAAAATGGAGACCAGCAGGTGGCGCAGTGTTTAAGGGTGTTGGATTCCCACATGGCCAATAGCATCCTGACCTTGACAGCTTGATTTCTCACTTTCCCTCTCACTTCACTGTCTCACTCTGTCCCTCTCTGGTCAAAAAATAAGAGGAAAGGAGGGAGGGAGGGAAGAAGGAAGGAAGGAAGGAAGGAAGGAAGGAAGGAAGGAAGGAAGGAAGGAAGGAAAAATAATTATTTTTTTAAAACTTGAAAAAATATAATAATGATAAGTAAAATTAAATAATTCTTAAAATAAAAAAAGTTCTCTTCCCATGAGTAACAAATGTGAGTAGGTAATATACATAACAAATTATCCTTAGTTGCATGTAAATATTCTCTGCAAAAGATGGACTGTTTTATTTCCTTCTCCTGATAGTTCTCTAAGCTCTACTTTAATGTGTAAGAATCTGTTTTCAGAATTTAAAGTCACTTTGGGACCAGCAGTTAGCATAGTGGCTATGTCGCTGGACTCCCATGTAGTCGACCGCAGTTCGTGAGTCCCGGACCTGGTGGCTTAAACTCACCAGACGCATGTGCATGCGTGCCCAAGATCCTGAGAGGAAAATGGAGGAGAAGGGATTGAGGCATGGCCATCCCCCCTGGGTGTGTGTGTGTGTGTGTGTGTGTATGTGTGTGATTTCTCGCTTTCTATCTCTATGTCTCTCTCTGTCTTTCTGGCGAGCGCACGTGCCCAGTAGCAAAAACTTCCCCAAAACAAAAAAGAATTTAAAGCCACTTCTACCTGAATATGAGGTGGGACCCCACAAAGGCAACCTGTCTTACTTTGTATGTGGCCCCCAAATGAGTGTATTCACCAAACACATTCCACTTCATTACTGGAAAGATGGAGCTTGCAATGCTACACCTAAATGCCCTTTCCACCAGAATGGAAGAGTTGTGGGGCAGTGGCAAGAGACCTGGATTTACACCCAGCCTCTGATGCTTATTCAAGTGACTGGAACACAGCGTCTCTCCCTGGGCTTCAGTTCCTTCTTCTGTGAAGCATGACACATTAGACCAATTGATCTTATTTTACTTTTTCTTCCCCTAACATGGACCTTTCTGACTCAAAGCCTAGAGGATTTGAAATAACAGGTGGATTTAGAAAACATCTAGCCAGCCCCTCTTGAAGTTGTAAGTTTCACCACTATGGAGGATAGGTGTTCTTTGTTCTTAGTTTCTGAAATTCATTTTTAAAAACACTTTTAAATTGGAGTTGTGCTAATATTTTTGATAATACTTTTAAATTGCCAAAATTGAAAAATTATACTCTCCTTTACTCTTCGCAATTACATTTCTTTTATTAGGTGCCTTTCCATAGAAACAAACAAGTTTTTTACAATTTTTTCTTCTTCCTTTCTGAAAGAGAAAGAGAGGGAGACAAACAGAGAAAGGCAGTTTTGACAGGGTCTCACTGTATCTCAGTCATCCTGTCCCAGCCTCCTGATTAGCTAGGGTTACAGGTGCTCAGCTCACCTGGTGTGTTTAGGTTGGCCTGGGAATCCCACTGCAGGCTTCCAGCCTCCCAAGCAGTGGCACCACCTGTGCACCACTGCATCTGGGCCACGTTTCTTACCATTTAAGCATGGCCTCCTACAGTCATGGTAGTATAGATCCCCAAGGGGAATATATAAATGCACAAGAGGAGGTATTGTAGGTGGGGCGCTGGGGAGGTATTGTAGGTGGGGTACTGGACTCCCACGTAGCTGATCATGGTTTGAGTGTCAGACCTGGCAGCTTGCTTTCTCTCTTTCCTTCTCTGTCTCTCTCTGGTCAAATTTTAAAAAATAATAATGAAGAAATAAAATTAAATGAATAATTCTTTTTAAAAATTAATGCAGGAGAAACTGATTTGTTTTCATTTTATTTCTCAAAAGTTACTTCTTTTTTAAAAATTATTTTCATTTAATTTTATTCATTTATGTATTTTATTTGTTTATTTCAGTTTGACCAGAGAGGGACAGAGAGAGAGAGAGAGAAAGTGAGAAAGTAAGCCGCCAGGTCCGGGACTCGAACCACAGTTGGCCATGTGGGAATCCAGCGCCTTTAACCACCACGCCACCTGCCGGCCCAAAAGTTACTTCTTAAAATATGAGGCAGTGTTTAATTTTGCTTTCAGATTTTCCTTCAAAGCACAAAAATCAGGATGCTAACTTTAGCCCTTGCTGCTGCGGCATCATTGACCAGGGTGGCCCAGTCATGTCATTTCAGTGTCCCGTTCCCAGTTGGTATGTTAGGAGGGCAGAAATCCCTTCCTTAAAGTGAGAGTGTGAAAGGAACTTATTAGGTTTAAAGTGATTTCTAATTTACTGATAGAGAAATTGGGAGGGAGAAAAATTGCAGTCACATATTCTAAGACAGATATTGTAGAAATTACTAGTTAAGAAATATCTAGAATCCATTTTAAAAGCACTTCACAACTCACATTGCACTAGCTATATTGTGGCCAGAACGAATATTACTATAATCTACCTGCCAAAGCACATGGCTGACTGGACGTTTATGTTGATCACCCTTCTTTGAAGCTTCCTTTTTGCCAGGTTTTTATTTCACTCTAAATCTCAGATCACCTTTAACTCTCTATCTCTTCTCACATCTTTTCAATTATACCTTTTCCACACTGAGGTCAGCTCTGAAGGCTGACTCATTAGACTTCTACTCATGCTATACTTTTTTTCCATCGAAAATATAGCTACTGTTAACGTTTAAATTACTTCATCTCTGTAGGTAACCCCTTGATCCCCACCTCCTGGGACTCTAATTCCCATACCTTCAGTTGCCTGCTGGGCATTTCCACTTTGCTATCCTTTCGTCACTTGCCCACACCTCAGACCGTTGGACGTTTCCACTCACATGTCCTGCAGTCGCTATCCCTTCAGACTCACTGTGTGAAATCTGTAACTCATGCCCACAATCTTTCTTCTGGCCTCCTATTTCCTGCTAGTGTTGCCACCATCGATTCTGTTCTTCCTTTGAAATGCTCTTTAATGTTCTTTAGCTTTCATTCTTCTGTTCCACCTCTCTATACAGGCCATCATTCCTGAACAACAGCCACAATGCTTTACGAGACTCTCCAGTATTTTACATCCACTTCTCTCTCCAAGTCCCATGTCTCTCTGTCTCTGCCCTCCCACACTTGATGTCTTAGCCATCTTAACCTTTCTGCATTTCCTCTCTTACCGTGTTCTCTGGGAGACTCGAGCTTCTTCCTGGCTAGTGTATAACACTGAATGTGTCTGTTACATTACATAATCAAGGCTAGTTCTGTTACCTTGTTCAAGCTCTTGTCATGCTTAAGTCCCTTCTGTAAGAGGTTGCCCTGTTATCTTAAAAAGTCAAATGAAGAGCCAGCAGATGGCGTAGAGGTTATGTCTATGGACTCCCATGTGGC